GTGTGTGTGTGTGAGAGAGAGAGAGAGAGAGAGAGAGAGAAGTTGCAGCTGGATTTGTCCATGAGATAGAGGCATGGTCATGACACATCACCGCTAGCACCTACTATTGTCCGGCGCTAGACAGGAGATGTGCATGCCAAATGATGTTGTCTTCTGAAAAGCTATTTATTATTTATGCATGGACACCCCCGGACAGCTGGAAGAAAGGAGTTCTCTTTACGCTGAACAAGTTTCTTTGTCCTCAGTGAGCAAGAGAGCAAACGCGTGCTTGGCGTCTGTTGTCACAGTTTCTCAAAACACACAGATATCTGAGGTTGTTGCCCCAGTTTTCTGCAGATGGACAGCAGGATGTGGATCTACGAGGGGTTGATGAGTGAGAAGAGGTGCAGGACGTGAGGAGAAGGGCTATCTTGAAGATTGGTTAGTGGTGACAAGGGGTGGCCAGGTTGGCACAATAGCGGAAAGGGGAGACGTGGGAATAGGCAAGTAAGGGAGAGAGAGAGAGAGAGAGAGAGAGAGAGAGAGAGAGAGAGAGAGAGAGAGAGAGAGAGAGAGAACGGAGAGAGGAGCGGCAGGAGGCGCGGTGAGGTTATTCATTCGTTCAGCTGCTGTAGAGAGAGAGAACAGAGTGCGCGGAGTGAAAGGAGGCGCAGGGTGAGGTTATTCTTTCGTTCAGCTGCTGTACGTTTCGCTTCGCCATCTCATGGGATGTCCAAGTTGAGTTTCTCCAACTGGCTAGCAGTTGGCGCTCTTTTGTGTTGCATACTTCACTCCATTTCTGCTGATCTTCCATTGAATGGGTGTGTAATAAGGAGATGAGTCATTCTTCGCAACAAGTGTAACTCCGCTGTGCCGTTCATTGCGTTGCATGCATGACTTGGCTGTTGCGTCTTGTGCTGGAGGTTGAGTTCGAGCTCCCTCATTTGTGTTTTTTCCGACTCATCAAACAAATTTAACCACAATGAAGTAAAGAGATGACAGGCAGCAGAGTTGTTGTGATTTGTCTTCTCTACTGCTTGTTCCCTCTTGAGGCAATCGGTCGACTGTTGCGGTAAATTCGGTAAATCAAATTCGGTAATCAAATTCGGTAAATTCGGTAATCAAATTCGGTCGACTGGTATCAGGGGTTCTTCGACCGAATTTGATTACCGAATTTACCGCACACCAGTAGGCATGGATGTCCTTGTTAGACTCTACTTTCTTGATCCCCTCTCATGCTCTCTTTTTCTGAGCTCCATCCGGTCCTGAGATCCAGCCTTAGTTTGTGTGTATGTGTTCACTGTTCTCTGAGATGTCTCTCTCATTCTAATTTCTGCCTATGTGGTTTCACAGTAGTCACATTTACACCTTGCTGCCTCATGTTCAGCAGCTTGGAGTTGTGTGAACCGAGACTTCAACGACTGGGCCAGACAGCCTGCAGGACTGCCTGGGTATCTGGGAGTGTAACATCGAATTTCCACGAAGTCCAGAGAAATTATTAAAAAATCTGGAAGTCTAGAAAAACTTGAAAAAGACATGTTGTGTGGAAGTCCTATACAGACAAATTTTGCCTGAGAGTCAGTTCAAAATTCCTTATCTAATTACAGCGGAGAAAAAGAAGAACACCTATTGAAACCACGTTTGACGGACACCTGTTTGCAGTACCCTTTCAGACCGTATCTGGCGAGTCCACGGACTACACACACACACTTCATGGGAACCCGGTCGGAATTGGGCTTCATTTGGCGAGCGCAAAATAGCAATACTCAGCTCAGATGGGCAGGATGTCCCCATGAGCCTCTCCCCTGACGCGTTCAAATCTGCAGACAGGTCCAGACAGGTCGCCGGGGACCTATCCAGCCTACAGCCTTTTGGACACCCTACCTAGTCGCAAACCGAAATTTCAACTGGGGTCCTTGTTGTCCCTTGTCCTTGCGCATTGCTCTCGCGCAGACACTTTTAAGTGTTTGTAGTACTTCGTACTCACCATCTAACGCATGTTCTTCTCACGCTGCTGTATGACTATCCGTATGTGTGTGGTGAGTACTCCTTACTTGAATGTTCCCCGTTATCTCATTCTTAAACCACCAGTACAAGGCTCCGGGCAGCTTCCAGAGCGCAATGATCAGCTTGATCTGGAAAGTGCAGAGGCTTGAGGCACCTGGACCAAAATGGCTGGCGGCGCCAACCAGCACGAGAACCACGCTGGTGTTTCAGCAAAGCTTGGCACACAAGGCGACTTCGCCTTGTACAAAAGAGGGTCGGATGTACTGCTTGTTTAAACCACCAGTACTTCCGAGGCACTTTGCTCCAACCCTCGATATGCCCTGCGCGCCTAAACAAAACGAACCGGCTCAAGTGTAGTATCTGTTCTGATCAGTTTAATATCTGGTCCGTGGTCCATCGGACCACACGATATTAAATTAATTTTTCTGGGCCACGGAGGGGTCGTACGGGTAAGCTTGCTTGCCTGACCCTTCCAGTGTTGCCTCTGTATTGCACTGTAGCAGAGTGCGGTGCAGCCCTTCAAAAAAAAAAAAAAAAACGAACCGGCTCGGCCACCTTTGGGCTGGCGCCACCAGCCATTTTGATTCGGAGGCTGAGCCCTGGAAGTTGCGCAACGTGCGCGAGAATGCCCCGCGGCCAATGTATGGGCCAAGTACTGATGGTTTAAGCTGCTTTATCTGGTTATGCATTTTGTGGGCCGTCTTTCATATTGTCTAAGCTGTTAATGCTTGGGAATTCAATTTTTTGGTTGCAGTCTTTTAGCTAGAGCCTAGTGGTCCTTTGCCTTTGCAGCACCTGAGCTGTTAAACCACCAGTACACGGCCGCACCCTTGCAGAACGAAACTCGCCAAAAGTGCACTGTAGCTCTGGAACTTGCGGGGCAGGGCAGCCGCGATAAATTCAATCGGCCGCCTACTGGCCTCTGAAAGGGGCCCGCGGCTGATGTATGGGTGTGTACTTGTGCTTTAATGCTTGGTAATACGAACTTTTGGCTGCAGTCTTAGCCAGTTGTCCTTTGCCTTTGAGGTATCCGTGTGCTTGTGGTTTTCTTTTTTTTCTTTTTCTTGAGAGAGAGCAAGGCTCCATCTATTGGTGGGGAGCATCACCTGCTGGAAAACGGGTCCAGCGTCCCATATACAAAATGAATCAGGATGATATCAGGAAAAGTGACTGAGAAAATGCCTGCCAGCATTGATTACTCTGGCATCGAGAGGATTAACTGTGCAGGTTGTTGAGGAGGGGGAGGAAACCTCTTTGCGCTGTACCATGCGCCAGCTACCCGCGGCGGAGAACTAGTTCTTTTTCCCCCAGCTGCCCCTAGCCACCCTGTCCCAAATGTCGTCGCCTTCCCATCCCCACTTTCCATCTCTGTTCTACTCTAAGACTTCCTTGCTTGAAATGGGGTTCAGTGTCCCTTCCTGTACTTGTGGTTTAATGCTTGGGAATGCAAACTTTTGGCTGCAGTCTTAGCTAGTTGTTATTTGCCTTTGAGGTATCGTATTTCCTTATTTGTGCGTTCACTCCCTATGTTGAACCACGAGTACCTCCGAGCCTCATTTCTCAGCGACGTCTCTCAGCGATCGTCGCCCCGCCAACCCGGCTTCTATACTGATCCGCCCTTTGGACCTACTCCATCCTCCCCAGACGAGGAACAGACAGCAACCTGGGAGAGAAGAGACTTTCACTTGAACCATCTTCACTGTGCCGTGCAGAAAGATTATCGCCACCAGCGCGAGCAGCTGCCGACCAGATCCTGCATCAGACAATTACCCTTTGGATCAGGCCCTGTCAACGCCTGTTCGTAGGCAGGCAATGTCAGCCGCGGAATCCCAAGAAACTCCCTCAATGCCGCACTGTGATGACCGACCCGATGTTCAGCGAGCATGTGATCGACATTCTGTGTCGTGAGGATTATGAGGGTATAGCCCATCCAAGTTTTTCATTTCCATGACTTCGATGACAGTTAGCGTGGCAGTCATCTACGGCACCCTGACCTGTATTATTCATCGTTCGGGGCTGAAGCGGCAGTGCCAGTATGGTTGATGTCGTCCTGCCTCTGTGTTTCTAGCATGTGCTAGAGATGTCGCGTGTAACATCTGTCTGTGATGGGCCATCAGATGCAGCATCTTCGACTCCGAGTATCGGATGTGGTGCTTGCACAGTTCACACCCAAACTGGTCTTGTCCGCTCTGCAGCTGTGGCTACTTACCGTAACCAATGCCGGCGTCTCGGCTAAAATCTCTCTGCAACCCAACCCCTGCAGAACATGGAAATGTACATGAAATTATGAATGACCATAACTTAGAAAACAGGAAAGGAAGGGGACTAGTATTCAGGTTGGTCTGGCTCCCGGCAGCAGGGCTGAAGAGGCCCGTCTTGTCAAATCCTCTCGTGTGCATCCTTTCACCTGCTCAGTCAGTCCCCTGGTTTCAGGGTAATCAATGCTGGCAGGATGTCAGTGAGTTCTGACACAAAATGTTCACAGGGACACTGGGCCCGCTTTCCAGCAGGTGCTGCTCCCCACCAATAGATTGGAGCAACCAGGCAGTCCGCTAGCAGGGGGTGCTCTCTTACCAACTCTTCTAGCACTACTCTCTTTTTGACAAACAAAGCCTATTAAAGCTGAAGCCGGATCAAATTTCAATCGATTTTTTGCATAGAAATAATATTGCATAACAAAATGATCTATTGCGTGCTTTATCAACTTGCTCGATTGATCAAAACCTCTGTCTTTTGGGTTTAGGGTTTTGGATTTTTGTAAAGTTCTACTGAGAAAAAACAGATGAATAAGAGTTCTTTTAGGAAAATGGTGTATAACACATCTACCAGGACGAAAACGAAACACTTGCGCACCCATAGGCGGTCGAATTGAACCGACGTATTCTCGAATATTCAAATCTTGATACAATAACCGGTTATAAGGTGTGCTGAAAAACATAAGATGCAGGTGTGCTAAACAGCAAACGGACAAACGGCTTTTGTATGCATCCTGCTCTCAAATACCCAGACACGTAGGGCCTTGCACCACTCAAAACACAACAATGAAACAGCCGTTTTGTGGATTATGTATTTCTTGCTGTTATTTGCTACCAGCAAGATGATGAAAAAGGCAAAGTTCTGTATGAGAAATTTACACAGCGCCACCATTCCTCACTAAAAGTTGATCCCTCTACTGACATTGACGACACAATAATGAAGCACTTGGAGGCAAACCTGATTAAGGAAGAGGAAGGAGTCCCAAGGACCCCTCGCAGCGTGCTTGCAATTTACACAGCGCTACCATTCCTCACTAAAAGTGGACCCCTCTACTGACATTGACGACACGATAATGAAGTACTTGGAGGCAAACCTGATTAAGGAGGAGGAAGGACCCCTCGCAACATGCTTGCAGTGCTTGAAAAATCAGAAACCACTCCCGAAGGGGTTCGCTGGATGCTTTTGCATGGTCAGACACTTCAAGAGTTTTGGTAAAAAATCTGAAGCTCTCACTGTAATGGGCATACGACACAGGATACTCAGAAACACGACCACCCAAAAAGACACAGTGGAGGGTGATTTAGCTCTTCCATACGTAGAAATGTACTCAATGCATGTACGTATGGCTAGATGTCCCAGATTCTTTCACACAAAAATTAAGCAACGTAAAAAACTGCGAAGTAAGGCATTCCACAGATGAATGACAGGATCAGCAGATTGTCAGACCGCTTAGAAGCTGATACACGAACGACAAACAAATGGATCGACAGGCATCGCCACTGGGAATTGTCCAGTGATCTTAGGGGCGATCTAAGGATGACTGGAGTTTCTTCAAAGGTGGTAGTGATTGAACCTTATATGCTCTCGGAGTTGGACGGAGTACAGTTGGGACACAGCTATATAATTCTAGAAAACAGACGAGTACTGTTGCCTTCATGGGCGAGGCAGAAGGGCGATGCTGGACTGGCCAGAAGGCTGCTTCAGTTTATTATTTTTTGCACAT